CTGAAAGTAAAGTAACTGTCGATCAAGATTGCTACATCTACCAAAGTTATCTCTAAAAATTGATGGAGAATTAATATTTCAAGACAAGCATAAGTTAAGTGATTTGTCACCACTAAGCCAGTACCTCAGAAATTTCTTAGAGAGTTACTATGGAAGAAGAAAGACAGTTTCATTCATAAGAACACAGGAAAGAATATATTTCTTGAACAAAACAAATGATCAGAAGAGAGCCAAATGGAATCAGTCATGCCCAACCTAGCAGCCAGCAAACCCTTAATACTAACATGGGAAGAAGCAAAAAACAAGCAAGAATCCAGCCAACCAGATGAACAATCAATAAACCATAGGAAATAGAGAACCCCTCTCAAAAGCCACCTTTAACACAAATGGCCTTAATTTACCAATTACTAGAGACAGACTGATTAGATCTAAAAACGTGATCCAGGACAATGGAGATGGCTCAGTGGGTAAAGATGCTTGTTGCCAAGCCTGATGACCTGAGTTTGATACATAAAATCCATGTAAAGGTAGAAGTAGAAAACTGACTCCATAAAGTTCTTCTCCAACCCCACACCTTGGCAATGTCCTCCCCACTCCCATTATGCACATACACACACACCATCAATTTTTTAAAACACTTTAAATCTGTTAAAAAAATTCTACAAATATAAAATCTGGCAGCACAAGCCCAATCTCTAGCCACTCATTTCCTTTTCAGAAAGCGATCCACGAACCTAAACACTTCTAGTTCTGAAGCAGAGGTCTTTACCTGTCCCATAAAAGCTTTTGCAGGTTTGGCATGGCCTGCTGCTGCCTGAGAAAGGCCTCTGCCGCCTTCCTGGAGAGGTCGTCCTTCCACTTGAGGGCACCTGGAAGACACCAGTCACACCTGCTCACCTGTCCTCCCTGCCACAAGCCCCAAAGCTCATCCGTCCTAAGACCCCATCATATCACATTTAAGTAGTTAGCAAATCCCTAAACATCCCCATAGCAACACTTCGCATGTCAAATGTATATAACCAGCTACTTTGATTTAAGCATGCCTAGCCTTTCTGTGGCATATTTACCAGACGTTTCTGTGGGGCAGCTTTCTTCCTTGTGATCCTCTTCCTCTTTGAGTAAATCTTCAATGTCACTGTGTGGGAAGCGAGCACAGCTGAGTCAGCCAGATGGCACCCTGGCTGGCTGCCAAACCTCGTGCTGTTTACTCCAACTCTTGGCTGATTGCCAAGGCTCGTGATTCCCGCTTGCTTACTCCAAAGTATGGAGAGGCCAAACAGGTGCTGCCAGCCTGGTGATCTTGCTACATGCCTATGAGCTACACTCTGCCTGGCCGCTGCACGTGTGTGAGCCCTGATTGATACCGGCTGGGGGGAGGGCTGTAGGAAATGCTATATAAAGAGCTGAAGTGTGTAATAGTAAGGACACAGCATCATAAGGACACAGCATCATGAGAGGGACCAGCATCATAGTGAGCCAGCATCATAGTGAAGAGAATACGAGAGAATAAAGGAGAAAGAGAAACAGAAGCTTGAACCTCACCTTGGTGTCTGTGTCGTCTTTCCTGGACTCTGCTGGACAGAGTCCCGGCTCGCGACACTTAACCACTGTGTCATCTCTCCAGTCCCATATCTTAGCTACTTTAAAAGAATCTTATGTGCTTTCTTCATGATATATGTGTACTTATAAGTGTATATTCAACTTACTTAAATAAAAATTAAAGCTAGGTGTGGTAGCCTGTAGCCCCAGGAGTTGATAGACAGAGGTAGGAGGATTGTCACAAAATCATGGTTGGCTACACTATATAGTAAGTTCCAGGCTGGTCAGGGCTATGGAGGGCGATCGTCTCAGGTAACAAAATTAGAACAAATAAAATAAGTTGTCATGTGACTATCACTACATTACTCATTTAACGTTTAAAAAAAATTGGGGAGGGGCTGGAGAGATGGCTCAGCAGTTAAGAGCACTGACTGCTCTTACAGAAGCCCGGGGTTCGATCCCCAGCACCCACATGGTGGCTAACAATCATCCCTATCTCCAGTTCTAGGGTATATGACACCCTCTTCTGACCTCTGTGGGCACTGAAGGACATGGGTGCACTTACACACATGCAGGCAATACTCATAAACTTAAAATAAAGATATAAAAATATTTAAAAAATTGGGAGCTGCGTTTATGTGATGTATTTTGTCCTGTGCAGCCTATGCAAGCTGTTATCTCAGAGATACAATTTTGTGCTGTGGAGCAAACTTAGGGTCTTCTGTATGCTAGACAAGTGCTCTACCACTGAGCTATACTTCTAGAATGAGTTGAGATTTTTAGATTTACAAATAGTTAATTCTCTGGAAAAAATGTTAGAAAGAATGGCGTCAACCTATACTTTTAGAAACAATAAAGGTGGCATTGTTAAGATGTAACTAAAATTCATAGTAACCATTAAAGTATACAAAAAAGTAGGTGATAAATGTCTATCAAGATAAAAGAATATGTGACTTTCTTCCAAAATCTTTGAAAGTATGGAAAATAATGACAAAAAGAACTGTAAGCCACTAAGAAAGAATAAAACAGGCTGGGCGTGGTGGCACATGCCTTTAATCCCAGCACTCGGGAGGCAGAGGCAGGCAGATCTCTGTGAGTTCAAGGCCAGCCTGGTCTACATAGTGAGTTCCAGGACAGCTGGGGCTACAGGGAGACCATGTCTCAAAAAAACCAAAAATATTCTCAGAACTAAAAATTAAAATCATAATATCAATCTTTGAAATGAGGAGGCCAAATACTGAGGAGGAAAAATAGATTTATAAGACAAAACACTGAAACAAAATTGTAGAGAAAGCAAAGAAAGACAAACATATCTTTTTTCTTTTTCTTTTTTTTCTTTTTTGGTCTTTTTGAGACAGGGTCTCCCTGTAGCCCCAGCTGTCCTGGAACTCACTATGTAGACCAGGCTGGCCTTGAACTCACAGAGATCTGCCTGCCTCTGCCTCCCGAGTGCTGGGACTAAAGGTGTGCACCACCATGCTTGGCTATCTTTTTTCTTTTTTAATTTTTACAAAAACTTTATGAGGATTTCATACACGTATATAAAGTGTTTTGATCACATCAATGCCCACTCCCTCCCCTCCAACATTCCACCCTCTTCGTTTAAGGATTAGATACACGCTCCCAAATACTTTTGACATTTTTGGTCTTTGGAACAGAGTATGTTGCTAACAGGCCCAAGGACATTTTGACTTTTAGCCAGGAAACTGGCTACACTTCTTTGGGTCTTTTTACCCTAACTGCCTAGCCAATCCCTACCTTCTATTCTTATCATGCCATCCTCTGAAGGGGTTACCCAAATTGCCAATAGGGAACAGGGACGCAGACCATCTGGCTTCTTCCACGCTGAACAGGGATGCAGGGTGAGACAACTGGAGTACCCCTTCAGTGGGTCTATCTAAAAGACTCCCAAATTGCATAACTCTTGTCTCTAAGGGGAAAAGAAGGTCCTTGAATCATGAATAGGAGATGTGAAGGAGAAGTAAAGGCAAGAGTAATTAGCATGACAAATTCTAGACAGGGAACTAGAAAAAAGTCAGAACCAGGCAATTTTCAAATTCATATGAGAGTACATTGGAGTTTCTTGGCAAGGGCTTCCAAAAGAACCTGTTTTGGGTTCTTCCTCATTTTTCTTTTGTCTTCCAAGGCTGGAGTAGTTGGCTGGGAAGAGTGGCTAGATACTCAGGTGAGGGTCCAGTGACCCTGCTTGGCACTCCTTTAATGAATGAGCACAACTGTCAACAAGCCCAATTGTGACTTTTAGCGATCAGGCTCAGCCGAAGTCGTGATGATGGTAGTTATTTCATGCAGAAGGGACGGCTGTATAGCATCATCTTATTAAAAGGACCTGGAATTTAAAAGGATTTGGTGCTAGGATCCACATATGAGGGAGAACATATGTTGTTTCTTTTTCTGAGTCTGTGTTACTTCACTTAGTAAATGATCTATCCATTTACCTGCAAATTTCATTATTTCATCTTTCTTTACTGCTAAATAGAACTCCATTGTGTAAATATACCACATTTTTGTTAACCATTCGTCAGTTGAGGGACACTTAGGTTGCTTCCATCTCTTAGCTATTGTGAAAAGAACAGCAACAAACGTGGTTGTACAAGTGTCTCTACAATAGGATGAGTCCTTTGGGTATATGCCAAGGAGGTATACAACCGGGTCATATGGTAGGTTCATTTTTAGGTTTTTAAGAGTTCTTCACACTGCTTTCCATAGAGGCTGCACGAGTTTGCAATCCCACCAGCAGTGAATGAGCATTCCCCCTTTTCCACAGACAAATCTTAAAAGGAAAAAGATTAAACATCTATAGATTTTAAAGATGACAACTGTACTTCCTGATGGTGGCTTTCTCATCTCTAATAATAATTAGAATATAATATAAATTCCATCTTTCTGGCCAGTCTGTTAATTCTGCAATCAGCATTAGTATTTGGTGTTTTATTTTGTGTCCCAGGCTGGCCCTCCACCTCTGTATGTAATTAAGGAGGACCGTGAATGCCTGATCCTCCTGTATTCACCTCCCTAGGGCTGGGATTATAGGTGTGTGCTTCATACCTGTCTGGTTTTTCAGGAATGAATATATCCATTTCACTCACATTATAGACATTAAGAGAAAGTTGTTCAAAACATTCTCTGAGTATCATTTTCAGTATGTGCAGAATCTGGAGTGATGTCAACTTTGTTATTTGCAGTACAGTTATTTGTATTTTTTCAAATATGCAAAACACAGGAAAAGTCTAGGAGTTTTGGCTATTCATATCAATCCCTTTCCAGGTTTGCTGCTAGAATCTGGATGCTATCCAGATAAGGAATGTTTCATGCCCCAGGTTTTATCCTTTTCCACCAGCTTTTTCTGCAGCTAGGGTAGACCATGTCATTCAGCGTAGAGAATGAAGACAAATGGGCCCTTTGCTACTTGGTACTTCTGCGTAAACATTTATTTTTCTGATAAAAGGAATAACTTAACTGGCATCAGGCCTTTCCCCTTACTTTCTGTCCTTAATACAGAGAGGCATAAATCATAGCACTCTATTATTTTGTGAGTTCCTTGGAAGATCCAACCCATTACAGATACTAACCATAGACTTGTTGAGTTGCTGAACAAATATTGATAGTTACCTTTCTCCAGATTTCTGGAGGACAACTTGTAGGAGTTGGTTTTATTCTTCTAACACATGGGGTCCCAGGACTGAATTTAGGTATCAAGTTTGAAGGGCAAGCACCTTTACCTGATAACCCATGGTGTGGGCCCCAATATTCTTAAACCATTGTTGACTGAGTGGCAATAATATTCCTAATTGATTCAGAAGGGCAAGGGAAGCAAAGATTTGAAGTGTATCTTTGTAATTTTGTGGGGGAGAAAACAGAATTCTACAGTGAAAACAACAGAGGGACTGGAGAGACAGCTTAGTAGTTAGAGCTGCTCTTCCAGAGGACAAATTTGATTCCTGGCACCCTCATTGGTTGTCTCACAACTGCTTTTAACTTTAGCTGCAGGGGATCCAACACCTTCTGGCTGCTTCAGGTACACGTGCTGGAACACACACACACTGTACTAACTCATACACATTTAAAAAAATAGTAACCTCTTTATGCAACCCTTAAAACAAAAATTCCTTAACTACTGATGGAAATTCTCACAAGAATTGTATAATGCCATGCAGTGTTTACTTTTGCTCTTAATAATCATTATGAATAATAACCAAATATTAGAGATGGCAAACCTTGAGGTAGGAGGACTTTTGGTATGTGGACTTGCACACTTTGTTCTTGGCTTCTCCCAAAGTATGAAATTATGAGCAAGACAAGATGTGATAGGACTGAGAGGGAGAAAAAAGGTCTTAGTTACTGGCAGAAATATGGCCAAAGGAAGCCATAAATGTAATAAAAAGGCTTTGACTGTGGAAAAGAATTCCAGTCTTTCCATCCAGGCAGCTCTCTGGGTGGGCTGATTCTGTGAATCACACCCAGGATATATGTCCAGAGACCTCAAATAAAATACATTTGTGGATTAGCAATGTCTCACCTGGTCTGAACATCCCCATTTTCATTAGTTTGGGGCATCTATACTTCTGTTTTACTGTTACATCAATAACACACTTGTCATTAACTTTAATACAGTAGAACTTCAGAATCACACATTGTACTAATTGAGAACTTTAAGCTGGATTTATTTTTAGTCTCTTTAAAAAGTTAAAGGTGGGGGTGGGGCATTCAGATGACTCAGTGGGCAAAGGAACTTTCTGTCAAGGCTGACAACCTGAGTTTGAGCCCCAGAAGTCAAATGGTGGAAAGAAAGAACTGACTTCTGTCCTCTAGCCTCCATATTCATGCAGGTGTGCAAGTTCATACAGACAAAATAATGACTATTGTCTTTTTTGAGACAGGGTCTCTCTGTAGCCCCAGCTAGCCTGGAATTTGCTATGTAGACCAGGCTGTCCTTGAACTCACAGAGATCACTTGTCTCTGCCTCCCGAGTGCTGGAATTAAAGGTATGCACCATCATGCCTGGCTGGACTATTAATTTTTTAGGTCATTAAAAAAGTTAGAAGTGACTTACTTAGCGGGGCGCATGCAATGCATTTGTGGTATTTCTCCCATGTTTGTGGTAAAAGTCACTTATTAATTCAACAGTCATTGAGCATCTCTGGGCTTCAGCTATTTTGGGTTTTCAAAGCCAAATGAAATGTGGTTCTTGGTTGAATCCAGAATCATTTGCTTTTTTTAAATTTTTTAACAGGAGACTGACATTCTCAGCTGCATATCAGTCACCTGGGTTAGCTTGTTGAATCTCCACCTGCCCAGGCTCCATCACTCAGCTTGGGGAGATTCTGGTAACAGAACTCAAGCTGTGTGTAGGTTTAATCAAAAGTTCCCTAAATAAAGGTGATGCATAGCAAAGATTAAGAAATACCAGTATAAGGTATGACAGAACTAATTGTAGCTTATCCACAAGTCAATCAGATGCATGCCCTTGAAATCTATATGGGCAGCTGGCTAAAGTAGTATATAATTCCGTTTATATTTCCAAGTGCTCAGAAGGAGTAGTTAAGGTCAGAGGATAGAGTTGCACCCAAGGTTCTCTGTGAAAATCCTGTTATGATTGCAATTAAGACCACTCTTTGCCCCCCAAACACTCTGCCATTATAGCCATCTCATACAAAATAGGTTTTTGAGTAAATTGCCTACCTTACTAGCCTGGAAACCATTCCAGGCTGTGGGCACTCCTGTTATGGAACAGTAACCCCATAATAGCTCTTTGATAGGTATTTGTTTTGAATTGTCTGTTTTGAATTGAATTCTTGTAACAAGTCCTGAGGTCTGACTACATATACTGTAAGTCATTTCTTTATAAACCATTTCCATTACATCAAACATATAGCACACATGCTGAAGAACCGCAAAGCTCACTCACCCTCAGCTTATGAAGCAGGGTGTTGCCAACACTCTGGAGGTCCCTTATTCAACTAGATCCTTTCATTGGGTTGTGCTCTTCAGAAACTTAAATCATGCATTCATTCAACTGATTGACTGGATTCATTCATTCATCGGTCAAACGTGCCGGTGTCAGATTCTTCGTGGACTAGGCAGATCTTTCTACTTGTGGACGAGGGTGGTCGAAAGTGAGAAAAGCTATCTCCCAGGGCGTCCAGCTTGCTTTGGGGCCAGCAGTCCCGCCGGTGCGCGGCCCTGGCCCTCCCGAGCGGCGGCGGTTCCTGCATGCGGCGGGCTGGGGCCGAAACTACGCGTCCCGGCAGTCCGCGGGGCGGTAGGCGGAGCCGGGCCGGGGGCGGGGGCGGTGAGCGGGGGCATTGTGTCGGCCGGCGCCGAGCTGCGTTTGTCCGCTCGAGGTGCTCACCGCAGTGGCCGGCCGGAGCTGAAGTGTCAGCGGGACTGCGGCCAGGGCTGGAGGCGGAGGGACACGGAGCGCGCGCCGGCGGCTGCGGGCTCTGGCAGGGGCGTTGGGAGCACCATGCGGATCGGCGCCCGGCTTCCTGCAGACCCCTCCCGAGGCAGCGAGGCCGGGGCGGCGCTGAGGCGGCGGAGAGCATGAGGGCGGCTGGGGGCTGGCTGGGCTCGGGGCGCTGCTAGGGAGCGGCGTCGCGGCGCACTCTCAGGGGCGCGGCGGAGCGCAGAGCCGAGCGCCCGGGGCTGTGGGGATTGCGGACGCGGACTCTAGGAGCCGGGAGCGCAGCCGATATGGGCAACGCGGGGAGCATGGACTCGCAGCAGACCGATTTCAGGGCGCACAGCGTGCCTTTGAAGCTGCCGATGCCCGAGCCGGGTGAGCTGGAGGAACGCTTTGCCATCGTGCTGGTGAGTGAGGCGGCCCGGGCGCGCGGCCCCGGGCGGTGCTGGCACCGCTCCTCTCCTCCCGATCCCGAGGGCGAGGCTCGCACCTTCCCATTGTGGTCCCCTGCCTCTCCCCTCTGCGTCCTCCTTCCCTCCCTCGCGTACAGTTCTCCTGGGGTCCTGGGATGGGAAGAGGGGCTGGGCGAGCTGCCCCGCTGGCCCGAACCCATTGTCTGGCGGGAGAGCCACCTCGAGGAGGCGCGTGTGCCCCGGAGCTGCAGCGTGGGTGTGAAGGGAAGGGAAGGTGGTCGGGACGAGGATCTACTAGCAGCAAAGGCTTTTGCTCTTTTATTCTTTTGGAAAAGAGCCTACTCGCAAACCCCCAGCCCGTGCGCAGCATCCCTTGGCTGCACAGCCCTGGGCCTGCGGGATCCGCGGCAGATGGGCGCAGGTGGCCGCCGCGGCGGAGGCAAACTTGGAGGGTGGAGGTCGCGGCTTGTCAGAAAGGGAAAGAGGAGACCCGCAGCTGAGCGGAGCCCGGGTCCCTCCAAGAAGAGGCGGCATCTGAAACCCAGACGGAGGAGAAGCGCCCCAGGCGGGGGAGAACCTCAGTGTGTTCCCTTTGGTCTTAAATCTTAAACCACAAAAATGTGCAGTTTGGCTGGGACGTGTTGAGAGCCGCCCTGACTTCACAGGCGACCCCCGTTCCTCGAGCAGAGTCCTCTGCTCCTTCGCTCTTTCTGCATCTCTGTCTTCCAGTTCCAGCTTCTCGAGCAAAGGCTAGACTCTCTCCGTTTACTTCTGGAACTCAGTTTCTGGGCCCTTCCCTGCAGAGTCTGCTGTGCTGTGAACTCAAAAGGGTGTGCCGCCTTTCCCCCTTGCCACAGCTCGCGTCTCAATTGCCTTAGGTCCCCGGATTCTGATTTAAGGTTCTAGCCCGTCTTAAGGGATGTTGGGAGGGGAACAGGGAAGACTGGATGCTTGGCTCCTAGTCCTTACATTAGGACGCGTCTATGTTACTAAACCTCTCAGCTAGAGGAACTTGCGATGGAGGCAGCCAACTCCTAAGTCTACCTGTGAGATTATTGGCACGCAACACAACTTTGAGAAAGGTCTCAAGTCCTGGATCAAAAGTTGGTTTTCTGAGATTTGAACGTTGACTAGGACCTTGAAACTGCTTTTCTTCAAGCCTTGAAAAGGAGCTGCTTTTGGTCCAGGGAATGTGTTCCGAACAACAGGCGACAGGCGAGCTTTGTGCATCAGAGGCCGCAGCTTTTTTAGGCCCCCGAAAACTGATGTATCGGTGGAGAAAGATGAAGCTGCCTGTCTTGCTCTGCATCCTCTGATCTCCCACAGCTGTTCCCACCTTGTGCAAGATGGGACCCTGAACTGAAACAGCCCAGGCTTAATTACTTCTCAAGGCAGTCTGGTGCATACTTAACCTGTCTTTCCAGAGACAAGTGTGTTTCTTTAAAAAAACAACAAAAACTGTTTCTGACATATGGTCCTTACTACCTAGCTCTGGGCTTTGTTTTTCCCTCTGTGCTCTGTGTGTGTGTGTGTGTGTGTGTGTGTGTGTGTGTGTGTGTGTTCATACACTAGCTTTATTGAGAGAGAGAGAGAGAGAGAGCTAGCTTGTAGTGGAGGAGCCAGGGACTCAGGGAAGCCAGCTCAGCAGCCATAATAATAACACTAATGCAATTAAGTTCTGGTCAACTGGGAGAGCAGTTTTTGCATGAGCTTTCAGTTACTCTGCTGATTAATAACACATGGTATGAATTAATCTTTAGGAAAATAATGTTCCTTCATTAACTTGGTGGATTTGTGCTCATTGAGTCTAGCAGGTCACAAAGTTAGCCTGTAGACTTTAATGATTGTACATCCCAGGCTGTTTGGTGTAGCAGTTGTTTGTTGTGGCTACCTTTCCTCTTCTGTATGTCCCACAGTAGATACTGGATGCAGTTATTTTGCAAGTAGTTTATAGTGTTCTCATTTTCTCAAACAAAAATAAAAACAGGAAATACCTTGCTTACCTTTTTCGAATAGCCGCAAGACTTTGAGGACCCTTTCTTAGGGACCCTTGTGTTAGGAATGCACTTGGACCATTGATGTTTACGCCCCCATCTGAGCTCTGCTTGCTTTGAAAGATCTATTGAGCCAAGTCAAGGGAAACCCTCCCCAAGGATCTAGTACCACATGTTGATTTTGCTTGTCCTTTTTTCCCCTGAGGTTGTTTATTCAACATTTTAAACTTTGCTTTTCTTTGGTCTCCAAGAATTGCTTGAGACATCAGAACCATTTAATTCTGGAGTTTAAGCTAGAAGGACAAGTTTTAGGTGGGAGATTTTAAAGTATATGTAAGAGGTTCTCTACCCTTGAGAAATGGGAATCAAGTTGGCATCATTGATGCCAGTTTCTTTCCTCCCCTTCTGCCCTCCTCTTTCCCTCTGTCTTGCTGTGTAGCCCAGGCTGGCTTCCAACTTGCTGTTGTCCTATCTTAGCACCTTGAGTGCTGTGATTATATGTGTGTGCCTTGATTATATGTGTGTGCCACCCCATCAGATCAGTTTTATTTTCTTATAGTAAACATCACTAGGGGTTTGGGGAGGAAAACTAGATTAACACTGTGCAGAAAAGTATACAAGTGCCTCATTGTAAGTATGACTTACATCAATAATTAACAAGCTGTTTCAGGCTAGGAAAACAATTCCTCCCAACCTCTAGCCTTAGAATATTTAAAGCTTTTGGAGGAGCAAATAAAAATTAAAAGTGACAGAAGTCCATCATAGAAACTCTTTGAGAGCACAAACCTACTTGTTGACTGTACCCCTTACCCCATTCAGCTTCCATAGGTGAAGTTGTAGACCTCTGAAAAGCTAGTTGCTAAGACTAGAGAGGGCAAAAGACTACTGAATTAAAATCAGTGGAGGGTAAATAAAAAAAAAACACAAAACTTCTCATGCATAATTACTAGTAAAGATTGGGTCCACGGTTTAGAAATTTAATCTTTGTAAGGAAAGTTTCTCCCTCTGAGCTTTTATTCAGAATTATTGTAATAGTACTTGCAAATTTATATTTAAGGAAAAGGAGAACTGACGCAGTGTAGGTTTGGCCTTTTGTATCTTTGTACCACCTTTCTGATAGAGCTATAATGTGATATGTGCCTTTGTGTGCCTATTTACATGTGATCCATGTATTCTTGAGGACACTTTGAAGAGTTAAGTTCAGTCATCAGTAATCCACTCTTGATTATATACATACATATAACATCAGACCGAGTTATTTGGTCCCACCTATTTATGGTTACATATCCGTGTGGCTCTTATTGCATTTTTAAGCCTCTCTAGTTGTTGGGGTTACATACATGCAAATGCTTTCTTGTTCATGAACTTTAAGGATGACGCTATGAAGGTGATTCTTGTGGGTTTTGCAAACAGTGAAGGTCTTTGGTTCAAGAATGCCTGTTTTACATTAGATACTTCATAATGTTTTACTTTTGGCTTTCAGTCACTCTTTACAACATAAAATGCCTTTGTCGAGGAACTGTTTTAAGGATTCTTTTTTGAACTTCATAGAAAAGGATAATTTAAGTCCTCTGACATAGTTGCCTGTATCAGTTCTGCAAGCAGATATAAAAAGATAGGTGAGTAGCCAGGCGTGGTGGCACATGCCTTTAGTCCCAGCACTCGGGAGGCAGAGGCAGGTGGATCTCTGTGAGTTTGAGGCGAGCCTGGTCTACATAGTAAGTTCCAGGACAGCTGGGGCTCCAGGGAGACCTTGTCTCAAAAAGACCAAAAAAAAAAAAAAAAAAAAAAAAAAAAAAAAAAAAAAAAAAAGTAAGTCATGATTAATGGCAATCTTTCTTATGTTTGATATTGGGAACTACTTTAGTATGGGACTAATTCAGTTCAGTTTTCTTTCCATTGTTTTTTCCTGAGAGTGGATATAGTAACTTTGTCTTAGGAAGGAGTGGGAACACTGGTGCCCACTTTGAATATGTCCCATGCTGACACGCTTTCACTTGATTCTCCCAGTCACTCCAGCTATCATTAATGTTAGAGGTTTATAAATAATGATTGCCTAAATTGCCTGAAGTCATACAGTTATTAACTAACCAACCTGGGATTTTAACCAGATTTGGATGTCTGTTCCTTTGTTTCTCTTGGCTTCTC